TCCTGTCGATTAGTCACGTCCAACTCTTTGCAATCCCATGGACTGTAGCCCACCAGCATCTCTGTCCATAGAATTTTCCAAGCAAAAATACTGGAGTCAGTTGCCAGTTCCTATTCCTGGAGATCTTCATCGCATGGGAATCAAACCTTTGTCTCTTGTATCTATGGCATTGGCAGGCAGAGTCTTTATCACTGGGCCACCTCGGAAGCCTGATAATTGGTCTACCAGACACTGAATTCAAAGAGTTAGTAATAAGAATGCTAAATGAATTAAGAAAGAGAATTGGTCTAAACACAGATTATTTCAACAAAGAACAATAGAACCTATAAAGAAGACCCAATCAAAAATAGATAATTGAATTTCTGAGATAAAAAGCACTCTAGAAGCAACGAATAGCTGTCTTAAATTATATAGAAGAAATGATCTGGAAGACAGAATAAATCACCCAATCAAACAACAAACAGAAAAATAAAAAACAAAAAAAGAAAGCAACATACAAGATTAATTAAATAGAAAGTGTGCCAACCTTTCTATAACAGGAGTTCTAGAAGGTGAAGAAAGACAGAAGGGGATCAAAATGTGTTTTAAGGAAGTATGGCAGAAAAATTTCCAACACTAAGGAAGCAAACAGATATCCAGGTACAGGAAGCACAGAGAGTCTCCAAAAAGATGAACCTAGACAGACACACAGTAAGACAGATAAAATGGCAAAAGCAAAAGAGAGAATCAAAAAGCAGTAAGGAAAAAACAAAGGATCATGTACAAAGGAATACCTATAACGCTATCAACAGGTAGTTCAGTTGCGTCTGACTCTGCAACCCCAGGCTTCCTGTCCATCACCAACTACCAGAGCTTGCTCAAACTCATGTCCATCAACAGGGAGAGGACCCAAATAAAACACAAAATCAAAGACAGGAAATCTCAATACCACAAAGATTAAAAAAAAGAGAGAATACTATCAATGGTTATATGTCAACAAATTGCACAACTTAGAAAAAATGGACAAATTTCTAGACCCATATGGCTTGCCAAGATGGAGTCAAAAAGAATTTAACCAGACCAATCACTAGAAGAGAAATGGAATCTGTAATAAACAACACTCCCTTCATTCCGTGGTGGCTCAGTGGTAGAGAATCCACTTGTCAATGCAGGATACAAGGATTAGATCTCTGCTCTGGAAGACCCCACATGCTGCAGAACAACTAAGCCCACAGCTGTGCCACAACTGCTGAGCCTGTGCTCCGGAGCTCAGAAACTGCAGCTGCTGAAGTCCGGGTGCTCTAGAGGCTATGCTCTGAAATGAGAGAAGCCACCACAGTGAGAAGCCCATGAATCACGCTAGAAAGTGGCCACTGCTCACTCCAACTAGAGCAAAACTGCATGTAGCAATGAAGACTCAGCACAGCCAAAAGTAAATTACGTTAAAAAGGAAAAAAAACTCCCCTCAAACAAGTCTAGGACCTGATGGCTTCCGTGGGAAATTCTACCAAACAAATAAAGAAGAACTTAATCTTTTCAAAGTATTAAAAAAAAAAAAAACAGAAAAGAAGAGTTCACTCTACAATGCCACCATTACTCTGATACCAAAACCAGACAATCACTAACAAAACAAGAAAATTATTACAGGCCAGTATCCTTGATGAATACAGAGGCAAAAATCCTCAACAAAATACTAGCAAATAGAATCCAATAATACATAAAAAGGATCACACACCATGATCAAGTTGGATTTATTCCAGTGTTACTTGGATAAAGGAAAGTGGCTCAGTCGTGCTGACTCTTTGAGACCCTATGGACAGTAGCCTGCACCAAGCTCCTCCGTCCATGGGATTTTCTAGGCAAGAATGCTGGAGTGGGTTGCCGTTTCCTTCTCCAGGGAATCTTCCCAACCCAGGGACTGAATCCAGGTCTCCCGCATTGTAGATAGACACTCTACTGTCTCAGCCACCAGGGAAGTCCTGTTACATGGATAATTCAACACACACAAATCAATAATACATCATTTCAACAAAAGGAAACACAGAAACCACATGTATTCTCAATAGCTGCAGAAAAAGCATTTGATAAAACACAACATGAATTCATGATAAACACTCTTCTTAAAGTGGGTATAAAGGGTACATAGCTCAACATAAAACATAATACAGGTCATTTATGACAAACCTATAGCCAATGTAATATTCAACACTGAAAAGCTGAAAGCATTCCTGTTAAATTCGGGAACAAGACAAGGATGCCCACTCTCACTGCTTTTATTTAACATAGTATTGAAAGTCACAGACACAGCAGTCAGACAAGAAAAATAAAATAAAAAATTGGAAGGGAAGAGGTCAATTTGTCAATAGTTGTAGATGACATGATACTCCTTATATAGAGAAACCTAAAGTCTCCACACAAAACCTATTAGAACTAATGAATTCAGCAAAATTGCAGCATACAAGATTAATACACAGAAATCTGTTGCTCTTCTAGTCACTAATAATGAAATATCAGAAAGCAAAAGTAAAAAAACTCCCATTAAAAATCACATCAAAAACATAAAGACCAAATAAGAAACTTATCAAGGAGGTGAAAGACTTGAAATTGAAGATGATTTAATTAAATGTAAGATATCTTGAGCTCTTGGAATGGAATAATTAATATTCTAAAAGTGACCATAGTACCCAAAGCAATCTACAGAATTTCTATCAAAATATATATGACATTTTTCATAGAACTAGAACTAAACAAGGTTTTAGAACTAGAACTAAACAAAGTTCTAGAACTAGAACTAAAACAAAATTTACATGAGACCACAAAAGATCCAAAATTGACAACACGATCTAGAGAAAAAAGAAAAAAGCTGAAGGTATAACCCTCCTAACTTCAGACTATACTAGAAAGCTACAGAAAGCAAAACAGTGCTGGTATCAGTATAAAAACAGATAAACAGGTTAAAGGAAGAAACTAGAGAGTCTAGAAATAACCTACTCAGCTTTGGTCTACATAAGGGAGGTAATCTACATAAAGGAGGTAAGATCATACAGGGAGAAAAGACAATCTCTTCAATAAGTGGTGCTGGGAAAACTGGACAGCCACATGTAAAATAATGAGATTAGAACATTCTCTCATACTATATACAAAAACAAATTCAAAATGGCTTAAAGACCTAAATGTAAGACAGATACCATAAAATACTCAGGAGAAAACATACAGGAGAGAAACAGTCTTTGACATACGTCATAGCAGTATTTTCTTAGTCTCCCAAGGCAAAAGAAATAAAGGAAAAAATTAACAAATGGGACTTAATCAAAATTAAGTTTTTGCATAGCAACGGAAACCATTAATAAAATGAAAAGACAACCTACAGAATGGGAAAAAATACTTGCAAATGACGCAACCAACAAGGAGTTAACACCCAAAATATACAACCAGCTCACACAACTCAATTTCAAAAAAACAAAGACCTAATCAAAAAATGGGCAGAAGACCTGAATAGATATTTTTCCAAAGAAGATATATAGAGAGATGGCTACTAGGCACATAAAAAGATGCTCAACATCACTAGCTAACAGAAAAATGTAAAACAAAAGCACAATGAGCTATCAACTCATAGTGATCAGAAGGGCTATACTAAAAAATGTCTGTAAATAATAAATGTGTAGAAACAGGAATCTTTGTACCCTGTTGGTAGAAATGTAAATAGGTACAGCCAGTATGGAAAACAGTATGGAGGTTCCTTAAAAAATTTTAAAAATAAAACTACTATATGATCCAGCAAGTCCACTCCTGGGTATATACCTGGGGGGGAAAAACACCTCTAATTCAAAAGGATGCATGTTCCTCAATGTTCATAATATCATTATTTATAACAGCCAAGACATGAATGGCACCCAGGCACCATCAACAGATGACTGGCTTAAGAAGATGTGGTATATATACAAAGGAATATAACTCTCTATAAAAAAGAATGAAATACCAACATTTGCAGCAATGTGGATGGACCTAAAGAATATTATGCTAAGTAAAATAAACAGAGAAAAACAAATACTATATGATAGCACTTATATGTGGAATCTAAAAACTAATTAATCTAAAAACAAACTTGTGGTTATCAAAGCAGGTGGGGTGAAATGAGGAGCGTGTGATTAACAGATACAAACCACTATACAGGAAATAGATAAGCAATAAGGATTTGCTGTATAGCACAGGGAATTATACTCAATATCCCATGATAATCTATAATGGAATATAACCTGTAAAAAAAAAAACTGAATCACTATGCCGTATATCTGAAAGTAACACAATATTGTAAATCAACTATATTTCAATTGAAAAAAATAAATAAATTGAGATAATGAATAAAATGCCCTGCACTATGTCTGACAAGGCTATGGTTTTTCCAGTAGTCATGTATGGATGTGAGAGTTAGAATATAAAGAAAGCTGAGCGCCGAAGAATTGATGCTTTTGAACTGTGGTGTTGGAGAAGACTCTTGAGAGTTCTTTGGACTGCAAGGAGATCCAACCAGTCCATCCTAAAGGAGATCAGTCCTGGGTGTTCATTGGAAGGACTGATGTTGAAGCTGAAACTCCAGTACTTTGGCCAGCTGATGTGAAGAGCTGACTCACTGGGAAAGACCCTGATGCTGGGAAAGATTGAAGGCGGGAGGATAAGGGGACAACAGAGGATGAGATGGTTGGATGGCATCACCAACTCAAGAATTTGGGTAAACTCTGGGAGTTGGTGATGGACAGGGAGGCCTGGCGTGCTACAGTTCATGGGGTTGCAAAGAGTCAGACACGACTGAGCAATTAAACTGAACTGATGCCTGACATACAGACAGGCAAGCAGCTGTCCAGTCAAAGTCAGTTCTAGCTAATGACAAGAGATCATTTCAGCTTATATAACACAAATGCTCCTTCTAATAAAATAATTAAAATAGCCATGAAAAATTGTCTTTTTCAAACACTGCAGAATATGTGCAATTTTATTTCTATAAGTGACTAAGCAATACCTACCGCAAAAGTAGACAGTCCAAGGATTTTTGAAGCACAAACTGTCTTCAGGAATTCAGGTCTACTGCTAAGGGTACAGAGTCTCCTCCAGGCCAAAAACATGCTACAGAATAGAAGAAAAAAATTTAAAGGGAGTAAATGTATACTTATATCACTATTAAACACAGCTACCCAACAGACCATAACCTTGTATAAAATAGAAACTAACTTTTTCTATAGCTGAGTTTTCTTTCTATAATATAATCTCTCATTATGAGAAATGTTCCAATTATTCCAATAGAATTCTTCTTTATACAAATTTATACATGTGTCATTTTAAACTATATCTGTAAGGATATGATGAATTTAAAAAATAAAGCTCTACTTTAGTCTAGAGCATTAAACTATAGGAAGTAAAAGTTCCATTTCTAGTAGACATTAATATTATATTCCTGAACAAAATTAATGATTTAAGTGAACTATTTATAATGAGTTCTTTTAAGAAATAGTGATTCCTTTGTAAATAACGACTTCTTAGGTTTCTTTCAAGTCAAAAAAGAAAGAAAAGTGAAGTCGCTCAGTCGTGTCCAACTCTTTAGGATCCCATGGACTGTAGCCTACCAGTCTCCTCCATTCATGGGATTTTCCAGGCAAGAGCACTGGAGTGGGTTGCCATTGCCTTCTCCAGGGGATTTTTGCTGACCCAGGGATTGAACCTGGGTCTCCCACATTATAGGCAAACAATTTACCGTCTGAGCCACCGGGGAAGTCTCTTTCAAGTCAGTTTTCTTAAATCAAGAAATGCCTATTCATAGTTTTGTTCAGGAATATAATATTAATGGGATTAGGCAGCAGGGATAGTTCTGAGGAAAGGTATTACTGAACAACAGTAACTATCTTGAACAATCTTCACTCAGTATCAAGAAGTTATTTGAATTCAGACAATACATTTTCAACAAATTCCCAATTGTTTAAGTTCAGCCTAATTTCTTTGGTATTAAGGAAAGTGTAAGTAAAATATTTTCTTGCAAGTAGACAAGTGAGAGAAACCTCTTCTAAGTTCTTCGCATAAATGAGGGTTGGGGGCTGAGAGGGGAGCAAACAGGACTAGGAATCAGGACGTGCTGTGCTTTGCTTAGTCATTCAGTCATGTCTGACTCTTTGCGAACCTATGGACTGTAGCCCACCAGGCTCCTCTGTCCATGGGAATTCTCCAGGCAAGAATACTGGAGTGGGTTGCCATGTCCTCCTCCAGGGGATCTTCCCCACCCAGGTCTCCCACGTTGCAGGCAGATTCTTTACTGTCTGAGCCACCAGAAAGAAAAAGAAAGAGAAGTTTCTCAGTCATGTCCGACTCTTTGCGACCCCATGGACTGCAGCCTTACCAGGCTTCTCCGTCCATGGGATTTTCCAGGCAAGAATACTGGAGTGGGTTGCTATTTCCTTCTCCAGGAGGTCTTTCCGACCCAGGGATTGGACCACGGGTCTCCCACATTGTACGCAGACGCTTTACAGTCTGAGCCACCAGGGAAGTCTGTAAATACTGGAATGGGTGGCCGATCCCTTCTCCAGGGGATCTTTCCAACCCAGGAATCAAACTAGGGTCTCCTGCATTACAGGCGGATTCTTTACCAGTCGAGTTACAAGGAATCAAAGTGCCTGGATTCTAATCCATATTTTTCATATTAAAAAAAAAAATTTCTATTCTCAGACAATTCCCAAGCTCTTGCTGGGCCAGAGTTTCCTCATATTTCTGAACAGATAAATAAATGAATCCTTGAAGGTAACCTCAGAAAGTACTGTTAAGTCACTGGCCTGTTGTGTGTGACCTCAGAGAGCAGGTCTTGGGAGATTTCCCCTCAGACTGGATGAGCCAGGTCTGCTGGCCACCAGATCTCAGTACTGATTGCCCCTAGGGAGTTGACACTAAATCTGCTGGTTTTCATCTTGAAATTCAAAGCCTAAATCACATCCCTCTCCCATTTTCCATAGCACATTACCTCTATAAAGAAATGTATTAAAAAAAAAAAAAGAAATGTATTGCCTGGAAACTGACACAGCTCTTCATTTCTCTTTCACTTATCAACTTTCTACTGTGCCTCTTGGAACCATTCTCAGCAAATCCCATTATATATGTTTTCAGAGAGTTTCTTCTACCTCCTAGCTTGAACTCAAACCTTATTGCTCCCTGAAGATAGTACTTCTATACTCCTCAGTGTCAGCTTTTGTTTATATATGTCCCACTTACCTGTTTCTTGCTGTCTATTCTACCATTACTGGACTATTACTCCCCTCATCTGCCTCATTGATATTAATATCTCTGACTTGATGATAACTCCTTGTCATTTTAGAATTTTATCATCAGGCACAGTTTTCTTCTCAACTCTAAGAACTGTGATTACCCCAGGTAATTCCAATGTCTTCAGAGATAACTCACCCAACAGCTGATGTCCCGGTGCCCATTGCTCATTCCACTCTACGCACTGTCTCCGAAGTTCACACTGTACGCCTTGCCATTACCACAATCTGGTCTAATCCCCAAACAGTTAACTGAAGTATTCTGTCCTTGACCATACACTACCTATCCTTTCAATTAAATTCTTCCAACTAATATTATTCATCAATATCTCTACATCTCCAGGAGGCTGCCTCTCCTTTTCCCAATCAGCCCTCACCTGCCTTTATTTTCCAATTTAGATGCCAGTTCCACAGCTTCAGTAATGTTCTTGACAATGCCCTAGGTCCCCTTGTTTGTCTTTGCACCTACCTATTGGTTTGGCCAAAAAGTTCCTTCCATTTTTTAAGTAAAAATAAAAGACACATTTTTTTCATTTTCACCAAGAACTTTATTGAATAATATATTCATCATTTTGTTCCACTACCTTCTGCCATTTTCCAAGCAACTTCATAATTCCATCTCCCCCAAATTTTTATCTTTTTGAGCAAAGAAGTGTTCCGAGTGACTTTTACAACCTTCCAGGGAGTTGAAAATCGTTCCATTAAGAAAATTTTATAAGGACAGAAATAAACGGACATCTGAAAGTGCAATATCTGGTGAATACGATGAATGAATCAGAACTTCCCAGCCTAGCTGTAACACTTTTTGACTGGTCATCAAAGAAACATGCAGTCTTGTGTTATCCTGATGAAAGACCATGGGTTTTTTGTTGACTAATTCTGGATGCTTTTCCTCAAGTGCTGCTTTCAGTTGGTCTAAATGGGAACATTACTTGTTGGAATTAATCATCTGGTTTTCCAGAAGGAGATCATAATAGAGGATTCCCTTCCAATCCCACCATATACGCAACACCTTCTTTGGATGAAGAGCAGCCTTTGGTATGGTTGGTGGGTCATTTCACTTGCCACATGATCTCTTCTGTTCCACATTATTGTACAGTATCCATTTTTTAGTGTCCATCACAATTTTTTAAATTTATTTTTTGATTTCTTTAAATGTACATGGATATGACATATTATGTATTATGGCTGTCATAATACAATCTAACAAAATTGTTTTGAATGAAGTTAAAAACAACTAAGTGCTACTAGAGTCATCTTATGGAAAAAAGCAAATGCACCTTTTGACCAACCCAATATAAAACCCTGACCCTAGAGGAACTCAATTATAGTGTCTGTTTTTTCCTATGGCCCATGAAGCTTTGTACTGCTGCAGAAAATCACAAAGGATAGGATTGGTTTCACCAAAAATTGATGGACATTAATTTCAAAATGACCCCCAAAACTCTAGCATTTCTCCTATATTATATAGGTAAAGATGGTAGAGGATGCCAACCCAAAATATGCCACTTTGGCCTAAGGTTTATTTTGACCTAAAGGCATGTGAAAAATAGTCAAGCCAAGAAGAGTGATCTGATCGTACCCTTTCTTCCTGAAAACAGGAGATAACATGCCCACGTGAAAGATATCTGCTCTGTATCAGGGGCGGGGGGCGTGAGGTATGGAGAGAGACATTCTTAGAGAGTTAAAGCTGAGAGAATTCTGTACAAACAGACCTAGTTAAAATAATTCTTATCTTCCGTTAAATTTCCCCATATTTTTTGGTTACTTTCCCACAAAGGCCTCTCTCTGCTCAACCTGCCTTAAAAGCATTTGATTTTGCCACTTCTTTGGGTCTTCATTTTCTCACAAAAGCGTCTCTGTCACATAGAACTTAAACTAAATGTGTGCTTTTCTCCCGTTAATCTGTCTTATGTCAGTTTAATTCTCGGCCTCAGCCAAAAGCCATTAAAAGAATAGGCAATATTTCTCTCCCATAGTACAAAATGATTATTTTAATTTTTCCAACACTCCTCTAACAGATAACCCTCTTTAGTCTAAGCAGATGACCATGTTGTCTATCAGAGAGAAAACAGAAGCCATCATATGGAAATTTTTTCAACTTGCCCACATCTAAAAAAACTAAACCAAAAACATTCCTTTTTTCTTCCTATTATAATAAACTGATCCTGCTACAAAAGAACAGTCTCTCCTCCCATGACTTGGATGCTATTTCTCTCCCTTGCTCCATTGACTGTTACCATTCTCTTCTATATATTCGTCTCTCCTAGTTAAGAAGATAAAATTTTATTGACTGTTCCTTTTGCTCAACCTATACTTCTTAGCCCAGGGCAATGTAACGTTTGTACTGATTACTCCAGAGAGGCAGCTCTGGCCCAAGTCAATTTTGACCTTCATACTGATAAATCCAGTGGACATTGTGAAATTCTCACTTTTCCTGAGTTCTCTTCAGCTTTGTATCTGCTGGTTAAGCCTTATCTCCTCCCAGAAACACTATGTTCCCTTGGCTTTTGACACACTACACTCTCTCATTTTCCTCCCACGTGTCAATGATGAAATTCCTCCGTGCCCAGATACAGGCTCGATTTTCTTCTCACTCATTACTCTCACTAGGTAATTTCGCTGTAGAAGGAATTGTGGGGGCATCAGTGAAAAATTGACTCCAAAGAAATCTAAGCAGGCTAACAGACACATATTCAGAACCTCTAAGACTTACTTCTTTTGTACTTTAAACAAACACTTTTTGAGCAGCACTTTAAAGCAATTAACTTTCTCTATGCATATTCACTAATAAAAACACCTGAGATATCACTGAAAAGTTGGAA